CCTCCTCCTCCTCCTCCTCCTCCTCCTCCTCCTCCTCCTCCTCCTCCTCCGCCTCGTCGATTCTCCTCCTTCACTTCGATCCTCCCCGTCAACCACCTACATGTACGCCTCCAACTACCTCCGTCTCGCCTTCCATACCCTTTTCATCCTCACCGTTCTCCTCCCCTTCTTGCCGTCGTCGTCGGCCCCGGCGTGTGCCGCCACGATCCCGCCTCCAGGGGCCCACGGAGGCTTCCGAGCGCCCCCCCGAAGGACCTCCTGAAGGCCCCCCCGCAGCCCCTCGCGAAGCCCCCCCGAAGGCCCCGCGAAGGCCTCCGCGAAGGCCCCTCCGAAGCCCCCCCCCTGCGAGGAGCTTCATCCGAAGGGCCCCGAAGGCCCGCCGAAGTCTGCTGAAAGGCCTCCGAATGCCTTCGAAGCCTCCGAACGCCAACCCGAAGGGCCCCCCGAGGGGCATAGATGACGATGGGCTCCACCTTCGCTTCCCGCATCTCGCCGAGCACGCCTTCCTCGCAGGCGCTGATTCCAGAGCTGTAGCTGACTAGGACTGGCCCGTGGACTACTACGTCCACGAAATCTGCACGAACTGGCATGTGACTGTGCACATGATGCGCCTTCTGGTCCGTTTCCGAACTGCTCTCCGACCGCGCTAACCCCCTCCTCGAATTTCCTTCTGGCCCGTGTCTGACTTATTTTCCGATCGCGCTCCCCCCCTCCTCGAATTTCCTTCTGGCTCGTTCTCCGATCTGCTTGCTCTCCCATCGCGCTCCCCTCCCCTCCTCGAACGTCCTCCCAGCCCGTTCTCCGATCTGCTTTCCCACCGCGCTCCCCTCCTCCTCGGATCGACCGACGGCCATCCAGAGGGCCTCCAATCCAAAGAAGCCCCCCCCCAGACAGAAAGGAGGTCTCCGAGGGCCTCCGAGGCACCCCGAGGGCCCTCCGAACGCCTCCGCAGGCCTGCGCAGCCCCCCCCCCTCCGAAGGCCCACCCCAGGAAAGCCTGCCCCCCCCCCTCCCCGGGAAGGCCTCCTCGGGGTGCCTCCCCGGGGAGCCCCCCCCCCAAAGGGCCGCCGCCGCCGCCGCCCGCGGGCCGGCCGCGGGAGGACGGCCCCGCCTCAGCTCATGCCCCGCCGCGCGCCCCGGTCGGCGCTGCCCTCGGAGCGGGGCGCGGCTGCCCCGGCGCGCGCCCCGCGGTGGCCGCCGGACCCCGCCTGGCGCGCCGGTCGCCGGGGGCCCGCGGGTCGCCGCCGCCGGTCGGTCGTCGCTCGTCGGCGGCCGGCCGTCGTCGGCCGTCGGCCGAGCGTCGTCGGTCTCGTCGGCCGTCGGCCGACCGTCGTCGATCGTCGGTCGTCGAGTTCGCGGGCCGAGCGTCGTCGGTCGTCGGTCGTCGATGGTCGGTCCTCGGCCGAGCGTCATCGGTCGTCGGTCGTCGGTCGTCGGTCGATCTCCGACGCTCCTGCTGCTTCGGTCCCAGAATGTGTCCGTCGCTTCGACCAGGGGGCCCGTGCTCGGGCCCCGCGCGGGCCATCAAAGATGGGTGCGGGACGAAGAATCGGGGATGGACAGAACCCCCTTTAGCAAAACGTGGTTTAGTGAAAACGACCTCGGGCCCAAATCTGGCGGGCGAAAGCCTGGAAACTGACGGCCACGGCGCCCTCTCGAGAACCGAAAACGGACAATTCACTAATCGACGTGTCACTATTGGGGGTTCTGTCCAGCCCCGAAAGAACTGCCCCGCGGTGGAGGGGAGAGGACATCTGGGGCCGCGGCCCCGCAGCAGAGACGGTCACAACGTCGGGTGCCTGGATCGTCGACCGTGGGTCGTCGACTTCGTCGTCGATCGTCGCTGCCGTCGGCCACCGCTGCGGCCGCTCGAGGGCTTCGGCCAGTCAACGCGGGCGTCGTCGTCATCGTCGTCACGGTCCTCGTCGTCATAATCGTGTTCGCGGTCCTCGTAGTCGCCGTCGTCGCATGCGTCGTCGTCGCCGTCGTCCTCGTCGTCGTACCGAACGTCGCTGGAATCATCGTCCTCGAAATCGTCGTCGCCGACGTCGAAGCCATCTGTTTCGTCGCGGGGTCCGAGGATCGAGGCTTCTCTGCGCTCCTGGGCCTCTTCTTCGAGGGCGCCTCGGGGGGCGGGGGAGCTCCTGGCCAGAGGGCACCCCAGGAGAGGTCGGGGAGGGAATCGTCGCCGTCGCTGTCGCTGTCGCCGCCACCATCGTCGTCGTGGCCGTCGCCGCCGCCGTCGATCGCCCTCGCCCTTCGGGCGTTCTCGGGCCATCCGCTGAGGTCGACAGCGCCCAGGCGCTGTGGCCGCGCGCTGCTCTGCAGGGAAAGAAGACGGTGACCGTGACCAAGACCGAACGCAGAAGGGTTGGCGTCGATCTTGGCCACCGTCCATCTCGGTCATACCGTCGATCCGTGGACAACCCTCGCAGATCGGCGACGGCCGGCATGGACAATGACCGAGATCGGCGTCGACAACAGCCCGCGACATCGTTAGGGGGACAAAAAGTGACATAAACATAAAACTCGGAGGTCCGCGTGGATTTCTCGGATCGGCGCTGGACCCCCCCTCCCTGGCGCGCCTCCGGGGGCCCCAGCGCCGATCCGAGAAATCCGCGAGGACCTCCGAGTTTCTATGTCTATGCCACTTCTTGTTCCCCGAATCCTGGTCATGGCCAGCGTGTTCCGCCCCTCGGTGCCCGGCGCCCCGCCCCCTCGGCAGGGCGGAGGGCGCCCGCCCCCGAGGCGGGTCACGGCTCCTTGGCCGCCGGCTGCGCCGCCTCCTGGGGCGGCTCCCAGAAGGCCCCAAACAGAGACGGCACGGGCGCGGACTTTCGGAGGTCTGCGCGAGCTTTCGGAGGTCGGCGACGCGCCCCCCTCCTGCCCGCCACCCCGGCGGCGCCTCCATCGCCGAGCCCGGCGCGCTCCCCGCGCCGGAAGAGCGTGAAAGGGCCTGCTTTCCACCACCACCACCACCAGAAGTTGGAGGGGGAGGGGTCCTCCTCCTCCTCCCTCCCTCCTCCTTCCTCCTCCTCCTCCTCCCCTCCTCCTCCTCCTCCTCCTCCACCTCCTCCTCCACCTCACCTCCTCCTCCTCCTCCTCCTCCTCCCTCCTCCTCCTCCGCCTCCTCCTCCCCTCCTCCTCCTCCTCCTCCTCCTCCTCCTCCTCCTCCTCCTCTTCGTCCTCATCCTTCTCCTCGTCCTCCTCCTTCTCCTTCAAGGTCCTTCCCCCCTCCAAATGATCGTGGTGGTGGTGGAAAACACGCCCATCAGAGCTGGTGGGAAGGGGGGGGGGGGCCTGGCGCCGACCCGGACGATCCGCCCGCACCTCCCAAAGTGCGCGCCTGTGCCGCCGTTTGTCCTTCTGCGCTTGCTCGAGAGCAGCGGCTTCGTCTCCTCCGGCTTCTCGGGGCCGGCCCGGAGGCCCGCGTAGCTCTTGTAGAAGAGGCCGCCGAAGACGAGCAGCAGCCCGAGGATCTGGAGCTCGTTTATGGTGTGGTGGTAAGTTGCGTAGGAGACCAGGATGGACACCACCTGAGCGACGAAAAAGGAAAAGAGATCTACGCGAGAAGAGGTGGCGTTAAGTCGGGCCTGTCCTCCTACAGGCGGAGTTTGGATGAAAAATTGAAAAAACTACACCAAAAATGCTCAAAAATAGCCACAAACAGTCCAAAAATCGTCCCCCATATTATTTCTTGACTATTTGGGAACATTCCTTCTGCAGAGGGACAGGCCCGACTCAAAGGTGGCAACCTTACGCCGAGGCTTACGCCGAGGCCGCCAGCGTGGCCCCCACTGACTACCTACCAGACCACCCCAACCCAACCCGAAGACCCGAATTTCGGGTTGGGGGGGTATGGGCTCCATATGTGTTTGTTCGATGTCCCCGGACCCCCCCCCACTGGAACTGGAGGGCAAATCGAGGCCTTCGGGTTGGGGTGGGGTGGCTTGGCGGGTGGTGACCCACAGCGCGTGGAGGCAGAGAGTAGGGGGCCACATGCGAACCCTGCCCCTACCCCCCACGACTTCTGAGGGGGAGGGTGGGGTTCACTCCGTCTGGGAGCTCCCGAGCGAGCTGAACCCCACCCTCCCCCTCAGAAATCGTGGGGGGTAGGTCAAGGGGCCCAAGAGGACACAAATAAATACGCACAAATAAAAGGATTCCCCATATTTTCCCATATTTTCCAGGCTTTTGTCTTCCCCCCCACTTCCCATATGTTCCTATATTTTCTGGGGAATCGACGGTTAATCGTGTCTGTGTGTTTCTTTCCCTCCTGAGTAGGGGTAGGGTTCGCAGGTGGCCCCCTTAGAGAGGGCGCCTCGCGCGGGAGGCCTCGCGCGGGAGGCCCGCGCGCGGAGGTCCGCGCCGTCTCGGCCCCCCCCGTGCCCTTCTCCGCCCGCCGGCCTGCCGCAGGTTCATGGTGGCCGCGAAGACCAGGGCCCCGAACTCCTCTCGGCTCGACGCACGGGGCAGTTTTTAGCGCATGGGATTCAAAACAGATGGGATGTTTAATGCATGATTGATTCATGAATAAATGTATGCGTTAACTCATCGTTGTTTGTAATACTAAACCCTGCATTTGTTATACATGATCCGCACGCGAAGCATGTATTAAAAACGGCACTGTAAGAGCGACCCTGGTGAGGAGGCAGCTGCTGGGAGGTTTTCGTCGGAAGGGATGCAAAAGGATTCAGCCCCATTGGGGGGGCTGCTGCGCCGGAGCGGGCCTCGGACGAAGCCGGACTAGGCGGGCTTAAGCGTGATTAGGCCGGATGAAGCGGGATTAAGCCAGATTTCGGACCAGGGCAAAATCAGAATTTGACCTCCCAGGAGCTGCATCCAAACCCTGGGCAAGAGTGACCTTTGGTGCGCAGCTTTTGGGGGCGCGAGGGAGCCAAACCCACGGGCGCGGGCGGCATATATCGCATCGCGCTCGGCGATCGGGGGGAGCCCGATGAGCCCGCACCAAAGGTCATTCTGGCGAAAGGTCACTCTTAC